GTCTTCTGGGTCAGACATCCTTGGCCACAGCACTTACAGTTGTATACCACCTCCCACCCCACTGGTTCCCAGACAAGAGCCCTTCTGGTGTAACCCGTCATGTGCCAGTGGGCCCCTGAGTCCCTCGGTGTGGAGGGGTATGGGGACAAGAAGCTGAAGGTGCAGCCTGAGGTCAGTGGACAGTACTGCTGTTTGTTCTGGTGAGAGGTAACCTTCACCTGGAAGGTTTCTAGCTCCTTCCAGATTTATCTTCCAGAAACTAACTGGCATGGAAATATTATAGTCTTGTAACTTTTTTTTCTAGGTCATCTCGAACATTCCAAATACCTACCATTACTTGATGCTGTTGATAAATTCAGGATGGCTTTAAACTCAGTAAGTGGTTAATTATTACCTCTTTGGCCTTTTCTTTGATACCTTATTCCACTTGTCACTGCCCATGGTGTGTGGCGGTCAGCATTTGTTGGGGCAGTTTGTAGGGCTGTGTGTGCTGCAGGGGTCCAGCACACAGCAGCTGCACAGGTGAGTCTTAGAAGCCATTGCAGTTGGGACATGTGGGTGGTGTCATTCTTGCCTTGACTGCTGCTTTGCAGGTGGGGTCAGGACAGGTGAGGCGTGATGGGGGTAGGAGGGAGTGAGTCCCAGGGAGGAGAGCTGTGTAGGACACCACTGGCTTCCTGAATAACCAGGAAAAGTCACTGAGTGGCCCCTCTCCCTGTGGGGACAAATGTATTCATGTCTGTTCCTTTGATATGGGACCAATCCATCTTACACCTGAAAGAAGAGATTTAGTAAGGAGTTTGAAAATTTTTCTGGATTCTGTATCTGGAAAATAGACTTTGTTTTTTCCTTTATTTGTACTTGATGTTTCTTTCCTCCTGGATCTGTTTTAATTTATATCCCTTGTGTAGGAATTCTTGGGGCCATGTGGCTGGTTTGTGCAGCCCCTCCTGGGGGATGACATGTTCTTAGATGGCTCAGGTTGAGGCTGTCCTCGGTTAGATTAGATTAGCGATCATATCACATTTCCCTCTGTCTGTGGGGCTTGGCTTAGAGTTATAATCTTCGGACTCTCCATGCCAGCCTTAGTGAGTTATTAAGCGGAGATTAACCCCAGGAGCCGCATTTGGTTGTACCTTGGAGGCCTGTTTAAAGGTCTGAGCTGTAAGCGGGCTCTGCCCAGAATACCCATCCACCAAGAACCACCTCTCTGCCATCCCCAAGGTCAGTGGGAGACAAGGAGCAGAAACTAACGAGTGGGGAAAAAGTTGTGCATGGGGACTGTTAGACACAGAAAAGAGGACAACTGTGGCCTTCCGAGAGGCCCAGACAATAGGCAACTGAGGAGAGTATGAGAGAAGGGGAAGATGGGGCCAGTGGCGTCCAGAGTGGCTTGTTGAGGTGGGCGTTGGAAGGGCAGGCTGTGGGGAGGCCCAAGGAGGCAGGATAGTGTAAGACAGCAGGCTTCACCTACATCTGGCATATGTCTGCAGGCTGGCCCAGAAAGTCCTTTTGTTTTAGTTTATTTTGTTTTGTTTTGTTTTACTATACTCTTTTTTGAGGCAGAGTGTCGCTCTGTTGCCCTCAGTAGAGTGCCATGGCGTCATCATGGCTCACAGCAACGTCAAACTCTTTGGGTTCAAGTGATCCTCATGCCTCAGCTTCCCAAGTAGCTGTAGGATTATGGGTACCCCCCATGCCTGGCTACTTTTTCTGTTTTTAGTTGAGATAGGGTCTTGCTTTTGTTCAGAGTGGTCTTGAACTCTTGAGCTCAAGCGATACATCCTCCTTGGCCTCCCAGAGTGCTAGGATTACAGGTGTGAGTCACTGTGCCTGGCCCAGAAAGTCCACTTCAGGGGTATAGCTGCAGGTACCCAAGCCCTTTTTACAACGTGCATGCGAGGAGCTTCCAGCAGCCTGTGAACCCCTGAGTCGTGTGTCAGTGGGAGACAGCGAGTGGATGATGGTATATTCTCTCTACAAGAGAAGAGGACCTCAGGGAGGAATCTACGGACTCGCATGGAGCAAGCACCCCTTTGGGTGTATTTCTTGGCAGTTTCTTTTCGGCAAAGTAGTTGCCTTAATGGTATCTGCACTGGTCTTGAAGGGGATGGGTAGGCTTCACAGAGATTGTGAATGCAGGGGCCCGACAGCAGGTATGTTCCCAAACACTGGCTGTTCTTAGTCCCCTTAAAATTCTAGCATCATTAATTCATAATTTTGCACCTCGATTCTCAGGAAGAGGCCTGGTAGAATGAAAGGTGCCGGATACTGGCTTGATGGGTTCTAATGCCAGACTTCTGCTCAACTTTCTTTTCATTATTATTATTATTTATTTATTGCCAATCCCTGTGTCTGACACTTTTTTTAATGTCAAAGAATAAATAGTAAAAAAAAAAAACAAAAAACCCAAAACACTGATAGTTGAAAATTCTGGTTAGTTTTTGTCCAGGGAAATATAATATTTGGCATAATTGTAGGCAGCTCAGGAGAATCTGTAGTTCCCTTTCAATGTCTCGTGGGAATCTCGTGCGGTATCATGTATTTAACCCGTCAGGGTAAGCAAGAATTTTACATGCTGCTCCTTCTTTTCAATTGTTTAGGGGTCACCACCAGGTGCTGGACCTTACTATGAAAACCAGGGATACCAACCGGAAAACCTCTACTCCTCACAGCCTGCCATGGCTCCCAACCCCTATGCAGTGTACCCGGCTCAGTACTACCCGTCCACGGTTCCCCAGTACGCCCCGAGGGTTGTAACCAGTGCCTCGACTCCCACTGTCAACGTGCGGCCCAAGTCCCTCGGGGGAACCACGTGCAGCTCAAGTAGGACCCTCTTTGTGTTTCTTTCCTGCCACGACCCTGCATCCCTGGACCATCTTCCCTCGAAGGCCCTCTGCTCCCAGGGGCTCTGTCGCCAGCTCTTGGCCTGTACTGCTCTACTGTGCACCGACTGTCTAGACCTGGCTGTCTTCACCTGGCTTTTCCCTCTCCTCCTGCTGGTTCAAAGCTGTCTCCGCCAGGCCTCCCTCCTGCCCAGGGCTTCTGGGGGCCTCCACTTGCAAAGACCTTCACCTTCTGCCAGCTCTCCTGGAAGCTCTGCCTCCCTGCTGGGCCTCTCCACGTTGCTCCTTGCTCTTAGTGGTGTGTCCTCCTGAATGAATGGCAAGCACCGCGGGTGGCCAGGCGCTGTCTGACCCTTTGCTGTGGTGCAGTCCCCAGCAGGCCATGCTTAGGATACTTCGTGTTATTTTGTGCTCAGTGAATGATGTGGCTGGTGTGGTTTTAGCACTGAAGCACCCATGAAGACATCTCACCAGGCTGGAGGGTCTCGTGGACAGCCCTGAGCAGACATTGGGGGACAGAGGGTACCAGCTGGAGGCTGAATGGACTTTGCCGTCACTTCAGTCCTGTCTCTTCCCTGTCCTCATTCATCACCTTTCTTTGCCATTTCATTTATTCTCCTGGCTCTCCACGCCCCTCCCTCCTGCACTACCCGGATTCTACTTCAGGCTGGTTTCAAAGCTGATTCCAATGCCAGGTGGAGCTAGGACAGGCTGTACCAGTGATCTCTCTATTTCTTAGTGTTTTTGTCATATTTTGTGAAATATGCATCCATGTCTGTACAAGCTGCAAAGCTGAAGGCTCATACAGAATTGAGTCCACACGTGCTACCATCACAGCCAGCCCTAGTGTTGGGTGATACCCGCCTGTCCCTCCCATGCTGCTCTGTGCTCTTGACAGGAGCCATCGCTCTGTCTCTGTCCCCCCCCCCCCGAGGGACCTTCTGCCCCACTCCTCTCTTGCAACCTCCCCTCTCCCCATCTCGGTGTTTTCAGCCCCATCCCAATCATCTCTCCTTCCTAATCCTCCCTCCTCCTTCTCTCTTTCTGGCCATTCTTCCAGTGTCCTCCTGCCAAGGAGATGCCTGTCTCTGCACTGATGTCTTTCTGGAAGTGGTGGGGTAGGTCCAGATGGGCGGTTCTCAATGGCAGCTTGTGTTGTCGTGAGTGGGGAAGAGGCTGTGGCTGTTCCCGGGGGAGGGGCTGGGTGCTGCTGAACACCCAGCAGTACACAGGATAGTCACTCCCACAACAAGTCCTCAGCCAAACTGTCAGCAGTGCTGAAGCCGAGGACACCTGGTCATTGTCCACTGTAATGGCTGGAAGGAAGCCAGGATGCAGGAGTTAAGGCACCCTGCTGTGTGAGCTGCCTTGTCAGGATAGGACAGTGAGGGTTCCTCTCCTGAGCTCATCACCTCCAGAAGCTGGTGCTCCCACCAACCAGGTCACAAGAAGCCCCGGCCCACTTGACACACCTCACTTTTCCAGGGCACAGACTCAGTGATGGCAGCTGGGCAGGGATGTGGACGGCCTTCCGGCTTTCGGAAGTGAGGGCTACGCGCCTACACATGTGACTTTGCACTATGGAACTGTTCCCCATAAACTCAAAAATAATTCAGTAATTTTGTTGAACTAAACTTGGCGTTATTTTTAAGAACATGCTATTGGTGGTAATGAGTAGAAAGGTATACGTTTTTCTTTTTTTTTTTGAGGCAGAGTCTCAGTATGTCGCCCTCAGTAGAGTGCCATGGAGTCACAGCTCATAGCAACTTCCAACTCTTGGGCTTAAGCGATTCCTTTGCCTCAGCCTCCCGGGGAGCTGGGACTACAGGCACCTGCCATAATGCCTGGCTATTTTTTTGTTGCAATTGTCATTGTTGTTTGGCAGGCCCTGGCTGAGTTCAAACCCACCAGCTCCAGTGTATGTGGCCAGCGCCCAACCCCTAAGCTACTTTTTAAGTGCAACATTGGGCTTTGAAACTATTTTCCCAGTTATGTAGATAGCACAAAATCAGAAGTACCCTCCCCCACAGGAGTAGAGGGAGCTTCTCTCTCTCTGTATTTCATGGACCTATTTGCTTTAACAGTAGCCATAGAAGTTTTGTGCTTGAATGGGAAGGAGTAGGCATCTTGAAATTTGGGCTTGAGAGGACTAAAGATAGCCGGTGTGTCTGATGCAAACAGTGGACTCTAAACCACTGGAAGGCTAAGTCAGACAGACGAAATTGATAATGATTGGTGTAAATGAATAGTAGGTTGTAATCGAACTTCACACGGCAGCCCTGGGAAACCAGGACCAAGTGAAGTCTGCACCGACCATACTAGCCACAAGATGCCTGTCCCCCGAGGGTAAAACTGGGGGCGTCCTGCCACACACATGCTCCTAGGGGGAGCTGAGCAGATTGCTACACACACAGTGTGAAGTTAAGGGTGTCTGATTTAACAGCCCTTAACTCACCAGGCAAGTTATTTTATCTGAGATAAAATGTCATGCAAGGAAGCCACCTAATGAAGAAAATGACCTTGGTAATGGGTGAAAGAGGCCACTTGGAATTTCTCCTGTGGACTGCGTTGGCTCCACCCTGCCACCCACAGGCACAGTCGCTGCGCTGAGTTATGATAACGTTGTGTATGGGGCAGTTCTGAGGGGCCTCACCCGGGGGCCTGTTAGACTTGCTCGTTCATGCCCGACCCCAGTTGAATCAGAATGTCCGGTGGTGGGAACCAGGTTTCCCAGGTAGTTCTAAAGCCTGCTGCAGCTTGCAGGTGGCTGTAGAATTACCAGAGTGTGGAAACAAAATGAGAAGTGGGGTGTGGAGCCCTCAGCAGAGGAGGTCTGTGGTCTCTCCAACTCCGGGAGCTGAGCCTCTTGCCCTGCTGGCTTTTGGAAGTGCAGGTGTGCACAGGTCCACCAGGCCGTGCCATCTCTGCAGCCTTGGAGGGTCTGTTAAAATGTTTTCCCCACTCTTTCTCCTCCACCTGTCTCTGAAGGAGGGGCTCCTGGGCATGGGGGCTGCTAAGAATCTGGGGGCAGTGTGTTGGAAGCTCTCCCGAGTGGACCATGAGTGGCCACCTGTCTGACTCTGAGTCCCTTCCACAGTATCAGGCACTGTCTTCTGATGCCACTTTCCGTGGACACTCTTGGCCAGCAACTCTATGCCTGTTTGTTTTGACTAGAGAAAATTGGTGACCTTTTAAAAATTCCTTTAGTTTAGTTGAAATGTGCCTGTAGTCTGGGTGCTGTATTTCTGCCCTCAGACCCAAAGGCCTATGCCTGGCTGTCCTGTAGAATTTATGGCAGTGATGGGAAGGTTCCACTGGCTGTCTGTGACAGATAAGCTCTTAAATTTGCGTTGTTTTATTTAATTCCACTTTACTTAAAGTGCAAACAGCCACATGTGGTTCATGCTGTCCAAACAGGGCAGTGTGGATCAGTTTGTGGTTTCTACTTGCTAAGACACTTTGTTCTTCTGCCTTGAGTGCCACTGGCAGGGTGAGGATAATTTGGGGGACATTATTATTATTTTGCTTATACTCATAATTACCAAAAATGAGGTACTTTTCCTCTGTTAGCCATTTTTTTACATCAATCATCTGCCTACTCTAAGACTTCCTTTAGCATTAAGAGCTTAACTCCTGTGTGACTTTGCTTCAAATCACCACTTTCTGCTTTTATCCTTGTAAAAGTATGAAGTTTAGTGTTTGAAAGACTTAGGACCTCTCAGGATATGTTCTTAAAATTAAAAGCCACAATAAAAGTCCAGGTGAAATAATTAATTTTTAATATAGTATACTATAAAAATAGTGGATGAAATTCAAGGACATGGCTCTTGAACGACTCTGACCCAAGTGCTGTGTCCCCTTCCTCCAGAGACTAAGAAGGCCCTGTACATCACTGCTGCCCTGGGCACCATCCTCGTGGGAGGTGTGCTGGCCATTGTCTTGCTCTGGAAGTTCAGTAAGTACAAGGAGCGGGTCCCACTCACAGCCACCTGCCCCTGCAGTCCCCGGGGGCTGGGAGACCCACTGGCCCTCGCTGAAGTTCCTTTGTTACCAAATGAGTTTGTCTCCCCTTCTGCCTCTTTGCTAAGTTGCGCTGTTACGTGGCCGATACTCTGGAAAGCACCAGTCTCTCCCTGGTCGCTCTATCTCACTCCTGTGGTCCCTCCTAATCTGAGGGTTGCTGGAGTCCCGTGCTATTTCCATAGTATTGACAGATCGTGGGAGAAGGGTTTAGAATTTACCCAGCACTTCAGGGTGCCAGGTGCCACCCAGAACTGTGAGCACAGGTTCCCCTATCTTGGGGCCACACCTGGTCACCTGTGTCTCCTGGCACAGCAGTGGCTGTTGGGGCCAGGTGTACCCCTCCCCTGCCACCTCCTGTAACTGCAGCCACTGCCCTTCCCATCAGCCTGGAGGTGGCACAGACTCACAGGCCATTTGTGCGTCCCTAAAGTGCCCTGTGTGGCCCAGAGACCGTGCGAGTGCTGTCCAAACCCAAATTCTGAAGGTTCTTCCCACTGGCCCCACAGGAGCGGCACACCCCAGCCCTGACTCCGTTTGTAAAATAATAGCCCCCTCCTCATTATTAAGGGGGAGAGGGGTCACTGTTCATGGGGCTCAGAGAGTGGGTGGGGTGCCCAGGGGGCCCTGTCTTCCCCACCCCCACCCCCGTTTCCCTGCCTGATGGGCACCTCCCTGTCTCCCTTCAAGTAGAGAACAAGTGCGTGGACTCCCAGATGGAGTGTGGCTCCTCTGGCACCTGCATCAGCCCCTATCACTGGTGTGACGGCATCTCACACTGCCCCCACGGGGAGGACGAGAACCGCTGTGGTGAGTGGGCCCCGTGTGGTGAGTGGGCCCAGTGTGGTAGGGGACTGCTCTGCCGGGGGTGGGGGGGGTCTCCTCAAGGCCACATTCCTTACATGGTTGGGTGTGGAGGCCTGGGGGAGGTGAATGGGCCAGGCCTGTGCCCCACGAGAGGACACATCACTTCATTGAATCCCTGCCTCCAGGAGGAGCCCTGGGGTCCAGGGACTGTGTCTTGGCATCACCTAGCTGGTGAGAGTGAGCCAGGGGGGCCCGTTAACCAAGGCAAAATAATTGTTAAAATGGAAAGCTGGGGTGCGCCGTGGAGTCTGCTGAACCAGGAACCCTTAAAATTACATCTGCCGTCATGCAGTGGACACCTGTCTGCTTTTATTGTTTTCTATTATTTGTTTATTTTAGCTGGCGAGTAAACATCATCTGTATTTGTGGTGTCTGATCCCATGCACCTCTGCAGATGGCCACGTCAGGCCACCCAACGCACACACCACCTCATAAGCACACGTCTTATGTACGAAAGCACTTGAAATCTGGCTCTTAGCAGTTTTCAAATCTATAATACGTTGTTAATGACTTCAGCCACCGTGACTAACGTTTGGTGGTCTTTGACCAATATCTCCTGGGTCCCCAGCCCTGGCCTTGGAAAGCCCCATTCTGCTGTCTGCCTGGGGGGTCTGGCTTTCCTACACTCATGTGTGAGTAGGTATTTGTCTCCCTGTGCCTGGCTAATTTCTCTTCGTGTAACGTCTTCCTGAGTGGCAAACATTCTTCTCCTCGAGCCTGACTGGCATCCCCCTCTGTCGGGATTCCCTGCCGTGGGAATTGCGCTCCGTGCTACTGTGCCACGGGCCTGCAGAGGCCGCCCCCTTCCTCTGCGTGTGGACGCGGCAGGCTTGCCTGACCACGTGGAGGGTCTACTTTGTCTTTTGAGGAACCCCCACACTGTTTTCCATAGTGGTCAATTACACTGCCACAGTTTCTCCACGTTGCCCGCACTTGCCATATTGGCTCTTTGACAGTTGCCATTCTCACAGGTGTGAAGTGACAGACATCTCACTGTGGGTTTGATTTGTATTTGTATTTCTATTTCTAATTAATTTCTGAAGGTGATTCTAGGGGCGGTGAAGTTGCTGTAACAGGGCCAGGGCCAGTGATGCCTGGGAGTGAGGTGTGCCGAGCCCCGTCCCTAGAGCGCCGCGTGGGCACCCGGGCCTCTTCTCCCTTCAGAGCCGCCTCTCGCTTTCCTTCCTTCCTCCCCTAGTTGTTACTTCCCGGCCACGGCAGCATGCTCTGGGGCTGGGGACGAGGCATGACAGCTGCTCTGGGGCTGGGGACGAGGCATGACAGCTGCTCTGGGGCTGGGGCCGCGGCCGCAGCACTGGGGGTGGCGTGTGCACCCACACTTCTGCTGAGCACACACTGACGTGTTTATACTAGAGCTGACTTTTAAAAATGGAAATTTCAGAATTGTAGAATCAGAAGAATCACCAGAAATCTGTCAGGCAGCTCTCCCCTCCTCCCATCAAGTGCACGCCTGACTTCATGGGCTCCCTCCTTCCCTCCCTCCCTTCCTTCTTTCCCTCCTTCTATCCTTTTATCATTCTTTTCTTTTTCTTTTTTGAGACAGACTCTCACTCTGTCACCCAGGCTGGAGTGCCATAGGGTTGCCATAGTTCACTGCAGCCTCAGACTCCTGGGTTCCTGGGCTCCGCCCAGAATGCGCAGCTAGTTTTTCTATTTTTAGTAGAGACAGGGTCTTGTTCTTGCTCAGACTGTCTCAATCTCCTGAGCTCAAGTGGTCATCCTGCCTCGGTCTCACAGAGTGCTGGACTACAGGGGAGAGCGACCATGCCTTGGGGTTTCTTTTAAAACCACAAACCTCAGAGCTGGCAGAGAACACTGACAAAGGCAGTACTCCACTTTGTAGCAATCTCTGCTCCCCTAAGGGCCATCCTTGGTGGGGATTGTTTGTCTATTACGTCCTGGCTTTCAGGTCCCAGCCACCTATGTGAGATGTATGGATGGCCCTGGCTGGTGGCCTTGCCAGTGAGGAAGCCTGGCCCCCTGGAGCTCTGCCCCGGGCCCACCTTGAGCAGGTGCGCGTGTGTGTGGGGTGGCTGCACTCCTCGGGAGCCCCTCGTTGTCCCCCCACTGAGCCACAGTGTGTGGATGTTTCCCACGGACGCGCCGTCATTGCACCAGTCTATAGGTGGATGTTTCCCACGGACGCGCCGTCATTGCACCAGTCTATAGGTGGA